AAAAATCGGACAGCACCTCAGTCTCAATGTCATTAGAATAGATATGATTAAAGTTGTAGGACTGTACTCCCCACTAAATTCTACCCCACAAACTGATATCAAATGTGCCACTGATATGAAGCACCCATGTACAGTTTCACTGTAGAGTACATACCAGGTAAAGAAAGCCATGACACCCCTAGGAGGGGGTAGGGTTACCCTATCCTAGCTTTGGCATGATCAAGGGCTTTACTACTTCAAGCAAGTAGTTTCACAAAATCTTGCATAAGGGTGAGCATCCTGTCCTATGTTAGAACAGTCACTAGAGCTTTACTATATGCACTAGGTCGATTGGTCAAAAGGATACCTCAGCAAGATTACCTAATATACCTCTCACACCTAACACCAAGAAGTGAAAGGAGGATCAAGCGGTACAGCGATAATCCAAATCCAAGGATTGTGTTTCCAACATGGCCGAGCCCATGACCAGCTAGCTTTTTGGCAAGCTTTTTAGCCAAGCCTCTGGCAAGCCGTCCAGGAATAGCAAATGGAAAACACGGTGACTTAAGAGCACTATGCAAATGTAATGCAAAGAACATATATGTGTAGATAAAATGTCACATCATGAAATTCAAGTCAAGTTCTTTAAATCCCCAACAGAGTCGCCAGAAACTGTAGATAATTTTTCGTGCTTTTTGAAGGGGTTTAGTCTCCTCGGATACAATAGCCCTACAGTTCGGACTCCTGTGGTTCTGAATCTGGTTTTACAAGTGCAATGTGAAATAAAAAAACACAAATGAGAGTCCAAATCCGACAAATCTTTAGAAAATCCATTTATCATTAGGGATGCCAGAAATGGACTGCATTGCCAAATTTTAGAGTCGTCACCTAATTATTTTTGAGAAATTTAGGAAACTCGTGCCAATGGCCACTTGTCCATCATAATCAAAGTGTCTTAGCTCGAGAACTTAGGTATGAGAGGGGAAGGTCATGAATTGAGCACCCCACTCACCCGATCAAAAATCGGCCTCCACTAATCATGATGTGATTTTTATGTACATTATATGCTCTTGTTCTGATTATTAATACTAATTTTACTATGTGAGGCACACAAGTATAGACTACGTCACCCACTTTGGAATGCTTTGATTTTATGCTTATTTTGAAAAGAGTTTTGAATATATGCTATTTGAAAAATAAACTCATATGCACATTTATCAAAGTCATCCCAACTTAAGCGAAATAGCCTTCATTCACAGGCATTCAACCAATTAGATGATATAACCTTAGGTGATATAATCTTAAAAGTTTGTAGTGATATTCATGTTACAAGAACAAACACAATGTAGATGCAATTCACAATGGTGTGTGGAAAAAATGTGTGGAGTTTCTTTTTATGGCCTTATAGCTAGTCAAATTTTTTTTTTTTTTAATATGAAATACACATCGCATTTGAAGTTTTGCATCACCCTTATGTCAAAATTATAACTTTATAAATAAGCATCACCACTTTTGGATTCTTTTAGATTTGGTCGAAGATTCTTTTTTTGATGATATTTGCCTAGCTGTAATGTTTATGAGTTGTATGAAATAGATAGGAGGAGGTGACACTTAACATTTCCCGCAATAGGTGACTTTCTCCCCTTATCACCTTTAAAGTGGTGTCTCCACTCTTCCTCTTTTTATTTTTTATTATTTTCACTTGTTTATGTCATCTAATTATGATTTTAAATTGTGTCTTTTATTTTACGATCAAATTCTAATGTCATGTTTTTCGTGAGGATATCAAGTCTTTTGATTTAATTGTTTATATTATATAATTATAATCATAACTTATGTTTACTAATCTATGAAATAGATTAGCTTAGATTGTGTGTTGGGTCACATTTCACTTTTTCTTTTTCCAATTAGGTGATTTTTTTCCCTTATTATCTTCAAAGTGGTGTCTTCGCTCTTCATCTTTTGTTTTTTCTTGTTTATATCATCTAATTGTGATTTTAATTGTTTTTTCTAGTTTACAATCAGATTCTAAGATCACTTATGTTTACTAATGTGCAAAACATATCAACTTAGATTGTGTATTGGGTCACACTTCTCATTTTTTTCCAAATAAGCGACTTTTCGCCCATATTCTCTTCAAGTGGTGTCTCCGACCTTCCTCTTTTTAATATTCTTCTATACTTGTTTATACCATCTAACTATGATTTTAAATTATTTTTTCTAGTTTACGATCAAATTCTAATATTATTTTTCTTATGCGGATATCAAGTTTTTTTATTTTAATTGTTTATATTATCTAATTCTGATGATAACTACTAATGTAAAAAATAGATCCACTTAAATCGCACGTTGCTAGGAGGTCACATTTCTCATTTTCCCCCAATAGGTCTCCTCCTTATCACCTTCAAGAGGTGTCTATGCTCTTCCTCTTTTTGCCTTTCTTGTTTACTATATCATCTAATTATGATTTTAAATTATGTTTAATAGTTTACAATCAGATTCTAATATTATGTTTGTTGTGAGGATTTCTGATCATAACCTATATTATAATTTATAATTAAAAAAAAAAGTGTTAATAAAATAATGTAAATCAAAGTGAACATTTTCTATTTAATTCATTAGCCTTTCCTCATTCTTTGTTTCGTATAAGAGTTTTTTATTCTTTTTTTTTTAGAATATTTACAGTGCAGTAGCCGTACCGTTATAACGTATTGAAAAATGGTTAAGAGCATTAAAAGTGGTGCTCTAATAGCACCACTAATGATGTGGCAGTGGGCCCCACCCATTTAAATTATGTTTAATAGTTTACAATCAGATTCTAATATTATGTTTGTTGTGAGGATTTCTGATCATAACCTATATTATAATTTATAATTAAAAAAAAAAGTGTTAATAAAATAATGTAAATCAAAGTGAACATTTTCTATTTAATTCATTAGCCTTTCCTCATTCTTTGTTTCGTATAAGAGTTTTTTATTCTTTCTTTTTTAGAATATTTACAGTGCAGTAGCTGTACTGTTATAACGTATTGAAAAATGGTTGAGAGCACTAAAAGTGGTGCTCTAATAGCACCACTAATGATGTGGCAGTGGACCCCAACCACTGCCTATGCTTTTTTTTTTTTTTTTTGACATTCCCAAAGCATTAGTGCTATTAATAGTCTTTTTTTTTAGTGGTATGAATCATTGTTGTAACATATTAGAAAGGCTGTAACCAATGCAAGGCTCCCACTTAAAACAGGGAATGCAAAAAAAATTCTTCATGAGATATTTGAAATTGACATCTAAAAGCATGAAATTGGGACGAATTTAAGTAAGGGGATAGAGGTTCTTAGTATTTTCAAAGAGTAGGTATTTTGGAGAGCTTGAGAATGTGTGATTAATATCATTGTCTGAGGTTTTTTTTTTTTCATTTATTTTTTATCATACCAAAAAAATTTAAATAAAGGTCAATGAGAAACATGTTTGTAAATTATTTCTGATAGATTAATTTTTATTTGAAGTATGAGATGATAGTTTTTGTTTTAATCCAAATATTAGAATTATTATTGAGAGGTGCCATTGCTTGATGCATTGGTATGATGCTTGAAATGCCAAACATGAGAGCACATATTCGAGTTTATGAGCAACCAATTTGTACACATTATGCCCATTGCTAAGTCTATATCCAATGTACCCCTCCAAGGACCCTCGATTATCGGAAACATGCACTGATTGATGAGCTTAATAAAATTACTAGTGTAAAAAGAGAAAAAAAAAAAAAAAAAAAAAAAAACCTTTTTAGAATGAATTGAAGTGCATCTTGTTGTTTTGGGAATTTTAAGTTCTAAAACTTGTATTTCTCTGTTGCTAACTTTTGCTATTGCTAAGGTGAGTTGGATTGTTTTTTTGCCACAAGAGAATGATAAGGTTTGCTAGTTTCTAATAGAAGTAAAGATTTGCAATTCTGAGCTAGGAGATCATTAATCATAGAAGGATTTTATTCTTAATCCTTGATACAGTTTCAATGAGCAGGGCATAGTTTCTCACATTTTGTGTAGTGCATTCAAATTAAATCTGCAGATTTTTTGTCAGATCTTTTGTTAATCTCAACAAGCACCAAGGCAAAGGTCACTTGCTTCGAGAGACCGCAAACCAAAGAACAAAAAGGTCTAGGCACTAAAATTGAACTCACACAATCTGAGAGCTTTGGGCCAAAATAAATTGTCCTCTCACAACCCAGAGGATAGGGTAGTTAAGCAATCTTGATTTTTGCTACATCCTTTCTTTCAAGCCCACTTAAGTTGTGAATTTTCTCTTTTAGCTTCTTTGTTCTCACAGCTCAAAAGGTGGGAATGACTCCTCCTGCTGTACATAAGTAACCACATACTCAACTATCAGTTAGGACCAAATCCAGTCTAAAGGGTCCTCCATTACCTTTTTACAAGTCTTATTTAATTTCTTTTTTGGGATTATTTTTACTTGCTTATATTATTTAGGGATAGCTATATTGCCATTGCAGATTATATATGTACACTGAAAGCTTTTAAGATTCCGGCTTTAGTGTCCCTGTCTAGATGTTTTCTATCAATCGAGTGAAAATAGGAGAGGAGTCATGTTTTAAACATTAGTGTTGCATGTGCTAAAAGGATAGCTTGGCCCAATGGCTCAATTGTAAGGTTCGCTATTAGCGCCCCTGGTGGTATGGATTCCAGTCACAAAAATAGTTTTTCAGGAATGGTGATAAGGTTACGTACATCTGGCCATCTTTAGACCCTGTTTTAACAGTGGCGTCGTGAAATGGTGATAAGTTTTATAACCTTCTAGCACATTAGAACATATTTTAGCTGACTTTTTTTTTTTTTTTTGTTATCATGTAATTCAAAGACAGAATAGATTTGGTTTGAGTGATTAATTGTTGTGTCGCAAATAGTTTTTCAGAAATGGGGATAAGGTTTTATTCATGGATGCAATGAGAATGGGTAGAAACATCTCAATAGAAATTCTTCTCCTTATTCTTCTCCTTTTCCACATTGGCTAGTCTTTGAATAATGGCTCTGTTTGAGCATTGAATTGAAACAATCATAATGTGAATCATATACAAGACTAAAAGCCTACTTGTGAGGGGATCTCCTCAAATATCTTGATTTATTCCTTTTTTTTTTTTTTTTTTCTGCCGCCTGAATTGAATTGCATGTGAATCCATCTCATGTTAGAGGAGCAACAATTGAATGTACAACAATATGTTAGTCTCTGATCTGTTTCCATGCTTTGCGGCATTGTGGCTTTCTTTTGGCTTAAATTGGTACTCTTCTCTGCATTATGGCTTTCTTTTCATTTGTCTTCATTTTTTGTCTTGGTCAACTTGCTCGCGGGGAAGTGCAGCCTAGCCATGAGAGGTCGAGGTGCCCTTGTTTTATGGTCAAATCCCCTTACACAGACAAATCCTGCAAAATAATTATTCCGTTAACATTAGCAAGTAAAGCATGGTTGAATAAAATTCCTTCATGAGGACAGGGTCTATCTCTAAAAGCTTTGAACAAGTTGGAATTCGGTTAGTTACAACATTCAGTTACATTAAGCCACTGTTTTGTGAAGTATATTGTTTATTTTAGATTTTTATAGCATATAGTTTTTCATTTTATATTGTGATTTGATTTGGAGAGAGTGAACAACTTGTGTGTAAAGGATGACAGTGGGTGGAGGTGGGGTGGTGTTTTGGCAACTGAACAATGCTATTGATATTTGATCATTATGTTTGTAGATAATTATAACTCCAAAACTTATTGGGGTAATCAATATATTAAATTATTGAGGATCGGAGAAGGCAAAAGTGCTTTGGTATTGCGCGTCTTTGCAACCTTCTGGGTTTTATGGTTGGAAAGGAATACGATGGTTCTCAAAGATAAACCTCGGGAGGTGGATTTTTTGTGGGATAAAGTTTTCCACTAAACTTCAATGTGGGCTTTGGTGAATCCTCTTTTTAGGGGAATTCCACTGCTTTTGTTAGTTAAAAATTGGTGTGACATGTAGAGTTTTGTTGATGAGGCCTTTGTTTGGGTTAGGTACTTTTGCCTTTGTTTTATTTTACTTGTGTAGAGGATAACTTATCCTCATTTCTTTTTGATTAATCAATAAAAATTTTGTTGTTGATAAAAGGGCGTACCCAGTGCACGAAGCTCCCACTTAAGCGGGGTCTGGGGAAGGCTTGATGTACGCAGCCTTATTCCCGCAAACAGAACCCGTGACCGCCAGGTTATCAAGGGGTAGCTTTACCGCTACGCCAGGCCTGTCCTTCAAAATTTTTTTTGTTGATAAGTTCACTGTTTCACCAAAAAAAAAAAAAAAAAAAAGTAATGAATATATTAAACGAATAATGGGTAATTGAGAAATTTGTTGTTGTATCATCATCATGTTCTCTTAGTTTTTTATGTTAACATGGGTAATGGAAAGGAGTATAGGTAATAGAGAGAGTGATAGAGAGTTTTATGAGTTGGCCTCTTTATTGTCATTGATTGAAGGGTTTTCTTTATCTTCATCTTCTGAGGACTTGGAGTCTCACTCCCTCTGGGGTATTCTCATGTAAATCTTTGTTTCAAACACTCATTGATAAATCTTCTATCCAGTTGTTTCCACTTCATAAGAAAATCTGGAAAGCGGTTGTTCCCCATTAGGTGAAGTTTTTCATGTGGTCCCTAGCTCAAGGAGGAATCATGACCAATGATCTATTCCAAAGGAGAAGGCCAAATCATTTTCTTTGTCCTCAATGGTGCGTGATGTGCAAGACTAGTCTGGAATCAGCGGATCATTTATTTCTACATTGCTCAGCTGCTTTCTCACTATGGCAGTAGCTTTTCAGTCTGTGTAGTGATCAGTGGGTAGCTCCAAAAGAATGTACACTTATGCTTCTTGTTAGGTTTGCGGGGTTTGGAGGTAGCTGGAGAGCCAAAGTTTTGTGGTCCTGTAGTGTTTGTGCTATTTTTTGGTCCTTACAGCTGGAGAGGAATAAAAGGATCTTTGAAGAAAAGGAATCAAGTGTTAAAGCGATTTGGTACAAGGCAGGATACTTGGCTTCGCTTTGGGCTTTTGTGTCTAAACCTTTTAGAGTTCCATTTTTCTTGATTTCTAAGGATTGGGCTGCTGTTTGCCATTGCTAATTTTTGGCTTTCTTGTTTGTTTTTGCCTTTTGATGTTGTTTTAGAATTTCTTGTTTGAGGACTCTTTGTCCTCTTTTCTTGATTATGCTTAATAATATTCTTCGTCGCTTTTTCCACCAAAAAAATAAAAAAGTTCATGGTGATTTTGTGTCTAGATAGACCCTTATATAAATGTCAATTGATGAAACTTACCATAAAGGTCTTATTCTACACGTGATACAGATTCTCTCTTGCTAGCTAGGCTATATGACCCTCGCATTCACGGCTGAACCCAAGCCTATGTTCACGAGTTGGCACACAAGACCATAATGATGGCGCCTCGATAGTACAATCTGGTCAATCTAGGATGACAGACCACAATATGCTACAATGCGTGGCATAGTGGGTGCATGCCTAAACCTCCCGCTAGGATATGACGCGCAATGTCGGCACTAATGCCCCTCAATGACACTGTCCATGGGGTTCTCAAACCCACATGAAGACCAATGACAACTCTCAATAGTATGTCAGAGGCCCAGCTTTGGTTGCCAAAAGGTTGCCCACTTGTAACCCATCACAGGTTGGGAAGATAGGCTGTAGCATAGCATGCCCCCTTATAATAGCATTCTAAGCCTTTTGCTGACTGGCACAAGAAACATCCCACTTGTTTGAGGAATCATAATGATTTACCAATAAATTCCAAAAAGAGGAATTTACACGAAAGCCACCAAAGGCTTGCTTGACGTCCACCAGCATGCAAGCATGGGATGTGCACGCAAAGGTGTCGGGCGTGAGTTGGACTACTTGGGGCCAACCCACCATGCTGGGGCACCACGCCACATGCGAGCATTGCGAGCAGAGGTCGAACTGTCAGCTCGTGACATTTCTGTGCGTGTGAGTGTGTGATGCTATAAGCAAAGCAAGGGTGTAACTCACCTACAAAATGTTATTAGACCTCAAGAAGTTTTCCCAAAAATTTGTTATGCTGACATTGGTCTTCCAAGATCAAGAAAGAAATCAGAATAAAGAGAAAAGGGATAGGATGAGTATGAAAATCAAATCCATTGCATTTTGGTTTCTCTAAACAAGTTCAACGAAGCACAAAGCTTTGCTACAATAAAAGTGGTAGTTGATGGAGTGTTCCAAAGTGAAATGTTTTCTTCATAGTTTTTTTTCTTTTCTTGTTAATGATGTAAAAAGTTTATTTTACTATTATTTTTATCAATTGGGTCTTGTAAGTAGTTTCATTTCCTTTTTATCAAAAACTAAGTTTATAACATTAATGTTCGACAACTTTTGGAAACTTGGACTATGGCCGCTTACAAATGTTATGGAAAGCTTCTAGGCTTAGGCTTCTATAAGATAGAAGAAGGCTTCTAGGGTTTCTAGTTGGAAACAGTCAATTCGGGTTTGTTTTTTCAAAGTAGTAGGTTGTAAAGATTTTTAGAAATAGTGAGTTAAAAGCTTAGAATCAAACAGAAGGTGAAGCAAACAACCAAACAAAGAGAGACACCAAACGGGGATAGAATATCAAATGCCAATAGAGAGACTCGAACCCAATAACCTCTCTGAACTTGAGCTTTGATACCATGTTAAGTTTGTTAGTAATTAACCCTTCCTAACCAAGATCGGTGAGACACGAAATAACAAATAAGGAAGAAACAAAAGCGAATCAAACAAATCACACACAAGAACACAAGGATTTACGTGGTTTACCCCAGAATAAGGCTACGTACATAGCCACTGCGGTTTTCGTTATAATCAAAAAAATACAACTCTCTATTAACCTAAAAGAGGTGCCCCATCATCTATTTATAAGTATAGAATTAGGATTACATGGAAGCAACATGGGAATTACGAAAGTACCTAAAAAATTTCGGCCGGGAGCCCCTTGGGGGAGGCCTCCCCCCAAACCCCCCATTGGACCCAGTGTTTGAGTGAACAATAAAGTTGAGCGAATAGTACTTATCAGGGTCCACCAACCCAACAAAATTACCAATTTTTCCAAAAACTTAATGTTAGGTTTTTATTATTGGCAATCCCGTTTGACAAAACTCCTTTCAGTTGTACTTGTTTTCGCATTTTTATTTTAGTGAAGATATGTGTTTTTAGATGCGAATCTAACCCAAATTGTGCCTTGTAGAGAAGTTTGTGGTGTTAATTCTTTCAAGATTACCACTTCGCTGATTATGATGGGGATCGAGCTGCCCGGTCAACTCGCGGGGGTCCAGGGGGCAGCGGGCGGGGTCGAGCGGCAACGCCCCCAAAGCAAAATGGAAAATTGCCTTCGAAGTTGCTTGTTCGCTCGAGCAGACATTCCCCCGCTCGAGCGGAGAATGCTGAGTTCCAGAAATTTGGTGAGTTTGCAAATATACTGTGATCCGTGTTTTCACACTCGAGCGTCCATTTCCCCGCTCGAGCATACATCCTGCTTTGGAACACGTCATATAGAGTCCCCGCTCGAGCGTCAATTCCCACGCTCGAGCGGACCTCGCGATTTCAGATTCTATAAACTCGCATGTTGCTCTAAATCTAGGGTTACACCTCCAGATCTTCTTCTTGGGTTCTAGGGTTTATATCTGGGGCTATTTTGCTAGTTTTCTTTGATGTTTCATTGAGAATTCAACTCATGGTTTAAGAAGCATACATCAAAGGTTTGTTTGTTTATTCTACACAAAAGAGAGAGTTGTTCTTCAGTAGATTCTGGGAAATTCGAGCCTGAAGCTTTAGTGGATTCTAGAGTGGCTCATCGTCAAGACAATTCCGAGGTAAAGTCGGGGTTGGAAGAGGCACATAGGGGTTGGTTCAATTCGGGCGTAGATTTGCTAAGTAATTGAGAGTATACCTGTGTAATTCCTTTATATCTTCTTAGTGGATTGTTTTGTGGCTGTTGCCCTTGATTTTTTTATCACAATTGGAGGTGCTTCAATTGTGATTTTCCCACGTTAAAATCGTTGTGTGGCTCATCGTCAAGACAATTCCGAGGTAAAGTCGGGGTTGGAAGAGGCACATAGGGGTTGGTTCAATTCGGGCGTAGATTTGCTAAGTAATTGAGAGTATACCTGTGTAATTCCTTTATATCTTCTTAGTGGATTATTTTGTGGCTGTTGCCCTTGGTTTTTTTATCACAATTGGAGGTGCTCCAATTGAGATTTTCCCACGTTAAAATCGTTGTGTTAATTTGTCTTGATTGTTTGATTGGGATTGTTATATACTGTTTAAAATTGATACATAATCACAAACCAATATCTAGGGGATTTCTAGATTTTTCACTTAAGTTGGGAAATAGGCCCAACAATGTGGTGGAAGTCCTCGGACAAAGTAGTTTAAGGTGTAGAATTAAAGCCAACAGGAAAAGAAAAGGTTGGGGATGATTTGGGCTTGACTGACTATAATTTTGGGTTTGAAAGGGAGCTATTATGAAACTATGAATGGTAACCTGAGATCAATATTTGTGAAAGAGGAGGCTCTAAGAACCCCACCTAGAATTTATTAGGAGTAAGGAATAAACCCCTTAGGTGAGGCCTAAGAATTCAAATGGTTTCAATGGATCACATTTTTTTAATTGATGCCTAAGAAGATATTTGGTTCTAAACATTTATACTGTAGGTTGGATGACATAAAATTTCCATGCTAATGTTGCCAAAGCCCTCCTTACATCTTTCATCTGCTAATCTAGACCCCACCTATTTTTTTAGGGAGCATATAAAAGACCAATGATGCATTCCATAAGAAAGCAAGAAAAAACAAATTCAAGGAAATGGTAAAAATTTGAAAGTAGTTGAATTTCGATTTGTGGCCTACTTGGGAACTTGTATTATTGAGTTTTTAGTCATAATCTCTTAGGTTATGGTTATTTATGTTAGTTATGGGTCATGCTAATTTTTTATATGATTTTCTATGTTTCACAAATCAAATGTGTTTGGTAAATTTTATAATTTTTTGGATATGGGCTAAAGGGATTGCCAATGGGTCATACTACGGCCAAGTTATGTAATTGGTTTTAAATTACGGTTTTGTTTGGGTTTATTTGGTTTTAGAAGTCAAAGCCAAGTATCTAAAAGTCTAGTTTTCTATTTAAGAATTCTTATTCTAGTTGGAGTAGTAGCCTCTATAGCTTGTGAATATCAATGTAATTCTTTTAATTCAATGTTGAAGTTCTCTTGTGAATTGTGTGATGCAATTTCAATCCTAGGTTAGATTCAAGCTTATGGGAATCTAGGTTTGATTCAAACTTACTCTACCCAGAATCAAACTTGTTTTACCCCTTTCTTTCAACCATAAGACAAAAATAGACCCATTCCCTAGGTATTGTTTACAGCATCCAGTAGGTACAAGCACATCATGCTTCCTTCTTCTAGTTGTTATATAGCTTGAATATTTTACCTTGTATGGTTATCATCCATCAATAGTTTGTTCCTTTCAAGTTTCAACCAATGTAGAGAAAGATATTACAATCTAAGGAAGTATTCCATACCTCTCCAAAAGCAGTATTGAATTTCCTCTGTTTGCAGACCTGGCAAAGAGCAGTATTCATATTGTGAGTGTTGCAACGTTGACACATTTTAGTGTTTATGGTGAAAAAGATCTATTTACCTTTAAAAATTGATGATACAGAGGTTCCGAAGTACACTGTCCGTCTGGGCAAATTCCATATCCATGCCCTTGGAACATCAATAGGATTAAGACTGGATTCATGATCAGCAAACATCTGCAATAGTCGCACTTGTGTGTTATAATACTATCTGTGAAAAAAAAAAACAATTGCCTTTAACTTTTGCCAAAGTAGGATGGTAAAGTAAGCTAGAATTTTGCAGGTTTCAATGGAAATTCATAGTCTCTTTGTTGGTGGGTGGTGAGGTTATAAAGCTGCTGCAGTGGTTCCCATGGGAAGTGGTAGTTCTACTATGCAAATAGTGATTACTAATAGAGATGGGAGTAGTTAGATGGCAATAATTAGATTACCTCATTAACTTGGAAGTACGTGCCATTGAGTGGAAAGCTTCCTCTCATTGCTGTTCGGCATGGTATCTGCACATGAAGCAAGTATCAGTAAACTGCTCCTAGTAGCCTTCAATATTACTTTTAGCAGCAATAATTGTGGCATGTATCCTAGGTTTGGATCTCCTCACCAAAAGTGTCCCTCTAACTGTTAATGAATTTGCTTCTCGTACACTACTGCATGAGAAGCACGTTTGCTCATTGCACAGTTTGCCTGATTCTTGAGACCCACACCTGCCTTCTGGTGGTTGAATTGAATTTGCGGTTTCTCCTGTGTGAATGATGCCAAAGTAGATGGAAGTAATAAGCACTTAAGACAATAATAGCATTTATATTGGAAAACTTAAAGTTAAATAGCCTCCGATCAATTTGATCTGTGTCACTTGGGTTCTGACAAGAATATGTTTGAGCTCCTCCATGATGGTATACGATGTCTTTTGGTGTATTGTAAAACATACAACTAAGGTTGTACAGAGTTACAGTTTCAGGTATAATATATCATGTGCTTACCTGGTGTCCATATAGCAAGAAGGTATGGGCTTGGATCATCTGGTTCTCGTTTATCCAGCTGAATATTTTAGAGGGTCAGTTGGGAGTAATCTATGTTGCAGATAGGAGAATAAAATAAAACAAAAGCGGAGGTAGCTAACCCCTTTTAGGAGAGGGTGTGAATCTGGAAGTTCGTACCTGCAGCAGGATGGAAGGAGTTGGCAGCAAAAAGTATCTTAGCAAGTTGTGTTATTTAACATTTATTAATGACTAAATGCTTTGTTTGTCAATACTGACAAAATAAAATCTAACTTGATCCACTGGCTTGGTAAAGCAAACCAAGTTTTTGTTTTTCTGGTTTGGGGTTTGATTTGTGGAAGAGTTTCCAACTACTGTCTTTTGGACGGTAACTTCAGTCAAATTGAATTGACTGCTGATTTTATATTTTCCTGGTCTAATAGGAAAAAAAAATTTAACTTGATCCAGTTCTTCTATACTTGTATACGTATGTCACAGTGAATATCTAATTCAAAGATTCCTACTCACACTTGATGCTCTGTCCGTAGTCGACTCACATTCTTCAGTTTGGGTGTAGGGATGGAAGCAGCTTCTGGATTTAAAGCAACTAAAGCTTTGGACATATCTCCTACATGCAGTTCCATGTTCTCTTGCATATAGTTCTGTAGATTTTGTGTGAACTGTTCAATGTTGAGCTTGATTGTAGGAATGTCGTCAGGATCCTCATAGAATGCATCCTCAATGTCACTTTCTGTTACTTCAGTAGTTTCTGGTTCTGGTGTTGTTGGTTCCTCAACAATTGGTTCATACTTGCTCACAACGGACTGCATCTCTTTAGGTTCCATGCTACCAGCTGGAGGGAGCGGCATGAGCTTGATTGCCACAGGAGGGCCTTTGTCAGTGGCAATGGGCATCGTTGAACTCACTATACTTTTCTCTTCTGGACCTGGGAGGGCAAGCCTTGCACTGCACCAAATGAGTTCAGTATCAATATCACATTTGTGTATATAATTGTATGCATATCTATCCACATGCAAGCGGAGTGGGTGCATTTGTATTCAATTATTGGACATGGATGCAAACAAGGAAGTTCTTTAGAGAAGGGATTCCCTTCTCTCCGACGGCTACATTATCAAACAATTAGCATGTTGGTAACTCCACTTGCCTATATTTTTCCCTTTCTAGAATTTAAAAATTGTTTCTCCTTTCTTGTTTCCTTGATGAAATAACTAGTCAATAAATGTTCAACGCATGCTCTACTTAAAATTTGTTTTTTAATTTCTTTTTGGATATGACATGTTATTATCAGGTCCAATGATCACTTTTAGACCTTTTATGTGTGATTTACGTATCGTTGTCTGCACTCTGGATGTTGCAATCAGAAACACCTCAAATGTTATCTAGCTTTGATGCATCCAAAACACTATGAAGCAATGTATTTACTATTGAAATTTGTAAAATTTCTTTTTACTTAATGCGTTTTTGAAAAACAGTGGGTTGGTATAAGCAAATGCATTTAGTAGCTGTTCAGATACCTGTGTCATGTGTGCAAAACTCAACAACATTATGATTTTTTCTTTTCTTTTTCTTTATTTTGGCCCCCACTTATTTAAGTACTGCAAGTTGTGAAACCAGTTTAATGAGTATTTTTTTAATAGCTAGCTGTAGCATAGGATAATTGTAACAGTTTGTTTTGGGTGACCGCTCGAGCTGTCATTTGATCGCTCGAGTGTAAATGCGTAGCTCCCAGTATCTTGCATGTTTGCGGGCGAGACTGTTTAAGCAATGGAGTGTTCGCTCGACCGTAGAATCTAGGCTCCCAGTATTTTCACTGTAGCTCTGCAAAACTTCCGGAACCTTATGTTTACCGCTCAAGCGATGAAAAGTTCGCTCGAGTGGTTTGGTCGGGACAACTTACTTAAAAGTTGACCAAACACTTTTTTTTCTCACTTTTTCCAACTCTTCTCTCTCTCCAACACCCATTTCTGAACCCTAATCCTAAAACCACTTAGACTCCTTAAGTTTTACTAAAGATTTACCTTAAATCCTTCAAGAAAAGTGAAGAGCAAGCTTGATTCAAGATTCTCTCTGATTGGATCATGTTTTTGGTCAAATTTCTTGTTAGGTCTTCATCTTTTAGCTACCATTTCAAGGTAGGGGTACTTTTAACTTGTTATATCCTTGATTTGATATATATATATATATGTGTGTGTGGTAATTTCTTAGTTATAGTCATGTATGAGATGATTTTGTTATATAAAGTGGGTTTGTTGAATGAAAAAGGGGTGTTTCTCCATGTTTTGGAAAAGTTTATGCATATCCTGATTATTGTTAGAAATGTTTTATATTAGCTTTCTATATGCAAATGGGAAGAAAGCCCAAATTTTATTAAACCCTAGATTTCCAATTGAATTGATAAAAAGGGATTTTGTTCAATTGACTTTTAAAAGATGAAATTGGATGTATTGAGGGTATTTTGGCATGGAGATATGGACTTTTGATGACTTGTGGAAAGAAATCCTTGAGATTGGAAGATGATGAAATTGTAAAATTGAAGAATTTGTTATTAATGTTATTGTGGATTAACAAACTGTAGGAAAAATTTATTTTGAAAACTCATGCATCATGTACATCATAATTTCTCATGTGATTTTACCATCTTGTGAATGTTTGGAAAATGTCAAAGAGGTAAATAGCATATGAGTCCGGGCAGTTCAATCGGGTTTTGAAAATCGAGTTGTGTTGTGTTTGGTACCTACACGGGGAGTCAAGGTGCCCAATTGCGCTGTCTTGTTGATATCGCCGGACAAATATGGGAAATGTTTTTGGGTGTCCACGAGCTTGCCGTTTACAAAGTCGGCGAATGTGGAAAAAACTTGATTTTGGGTGTCCACAAGCCCGCCATTTCAAGAGTCTGCGAAAGTGGAGAGGGAAAGGTTTTTGGTGCCCATCGCCCTGCCGTTTTTAGAGTCGGCAAGTGTAGGAATATTTTCTGTATATAAATCTATAAATGTATGTATGGTTTAACAGCTCTAGCCTGGGACGTCGTGGCATATTTACCACCCCATGCTTGCAAACGAGATTCTGGATTGATGACATGAAATGACAGTTTGGCATTAAAAGAGAAAATAAAAATTTTACCCTAACTAGTGCATGGCATAATCATATGCATCTCAATTGTTTATATAACTTGTTAAATGTATTTCCTACTGGGCACTAACTCACCCCAAAACCAACCATCTTTCAGGAAATAATGTTGATGTGCCACCTAAATGATTGACTTGGGGAAAGATTTTGGACGGCGGCACGGAAACTCTCTTTTGATGTTTTATGTTTAAACCTAGGGCTATTTTTGTATGGGAATTTAGACTTCCATTTTTGTGTATTCAAGGACACTCCTTGAGCAAATGTTTACCTTGTTGGCTCTTTCTTTACATTATCTCATCTTTTGAACTATTTTTATTTTGTTGATAGATGTAAACAAACAATGATGTAATCATTGGAATAGTTCAATGGAAAAGAGGCAATCATGGAAGTTATTTCATTATTATTATGGATTTACTCTCTCTCTCTCTCTCTCTCTCTCTCTCTCTCGTTTTTCTATATTGGATAAACCTAAATGAACATGTTTGATTAAGGTAATTTTTCCCGGGGCGTTACAACTTACAATAATACTCGTTCTATATGTTTTATGGACATGAAGCTTTTAATGTGTTCTAGGCTTCATCTGTCATTAAAATCTCATCAGTTTATGGTAATAGGATTAAAGCCTTCGGCTTCTAGGGTGTCATTGTTACTATGAAATTACACTAGTAGTTACAGTATTTGTTGACTCTGACTAGCATCATCTCCTTCCGATAACTATCACTTGGATTTATATTATATCGTTATGTGTGTCGTTGATTTTGCAATTTATTATTTATGAAATATGTGTACAACTTTCTTATTATCGTTATGTGTGTCATTGATTTTTGCAGATTATTATTTATGAAACATGTGTACAACTTTCTAATTGCAAGTTCTTGGGTCTTGAACACCATGGAGATGATGATAATGCTTTTGGTTGTCACTTAAAAGTAATTGAGTAAAGCTTTCAATGCATACCTTGCAAAAGCACTTGCGAAGTGTCTACACTCTCCTCTCATTGGACATGCATTGCAATTTGGTTTGCTCTTAGTGCAGAAAACCTGTAAAATATAAATAAATGAGTTCCATGGAAAGGTGCTTATCTTATGGTTAGTGGCAGGATCATGATATCGTACCTTTCCAAATGTAATCATCTGATAATGTAGCTCATACCTGTAGTTTATGATATGCTAATCACTTAAGTTGTACTGGACAATATAATGTTAATTCTGTAACTTCAATTTTTAAAGAGAAGTGCAATGCCATCCATAGAGATGAATGGTTTTAGGGAGTTCTGAAATTACAGTGTTCGCTGATCCAGTTTGCACAGTCTGGGCCACAGATATTTCTGAATTGTCTCCAGCATTGGATACCTGTGTGGAAGCATGGTTAGCAGTGTAATGGGGAAAATTCGGTGTTGATTGGTTCGAAAATATTACTTACAGTTCTAGGAGATGCAGTTGAAGCGATTCAGGCAGCGGTTGGAGAGGTACCCATCCTAGTCTTACAGCTATCCTACCAACATTTGTGTCAACCTTACAAATAAAATATTGGCTGCGTTATATCTTTCATTTCTTACAAGTTTATGAGTGAGAGTGACAGTAGTTTCCACATGAACCTTACCGGGAAAGCAAGATGATGAAGCGTTAATAGCCGCACACACTCCACACTTTTTAAGCCTAATCCCCGTATACTTAAAAGATAATCTCTGCAGCATTAAAAATATAGAAATCAGAAGAATGAATTCCTGTGGATATAGTTCATAGTCATACACAATGGCATTAGGATTATTTCTTTTAGGAGGCCAAAGTAAACTCATTAAGACAACGTCACAGAAGGACAGTGTACAATGTTCAATTATTACTCATACAGAGAGACAAATAGTATTGAAGAAAAGCCCCAGCACTGTAAAATATAGCTAAGGTCTTGCATAAATGATGAAATTTTGATACAAGGAATGAAACATTTACTCATACGATAGAAATGAAGGAAGAAACAAAAAAACTCCAAAATTGGAATATCATGAAATAAACTTGATTATATATAAATTTTGGTTTAATTCACTTAAATGAGTAGAAAACGCCACCCTACCAGTGAAAATCTTTCTCCACATTCAAACAGACTACCTGATGAAATACATGTTATAGCAAGCCCTCTTATCATGGTCATTAGATGTTTCACTGTTTATAAAAATGGTAGTAGGTTTATGCTTGATTACAAGGAGATGACTCACTTTGCCTTGTCTGGAGGAACATCTCTCAACCACTCAAGGTCAATGCTTCCATGTTCTCTAACCATTCGGTTAAGGAAATCCTGCATAATTGTGTAATCATCATTAACTTGTTTTTATAGGTTTCTGCATTTAGCCTGTTATTACACACTGCTAGAGCCATTTGAAGCTGATCTTGACAAATATGAAACTTTGAACATATGATTTATATTCGTACCTTCATTCGCTCTGCTAGCAAGTTGTTCATTCCTCGTTCTCTGATAGAATTAGAAATCTCATTGACATCTGCACATCGTATTGCTTCATAGTCCAGGGAGTCCATTGTGTTCTTATTTCTTTCTTTTCGTCTGCCATTGGGCTGTGCCTGCTTTCTCAAGCAATCCCAGTCAAATGATTTCCTCTTTTCATCCTCAACCTTTCCTTTTTTGGCATTTGACATATTCACACTCATCCCAGTAGTTACCTCACCTGAAAAACATGACTGCTCTTGCTCTTTTGCATTTGCTACGACTGCTTTGTTCTCTAAGAATTTCTGATTATCCACTACAGTAATTCTCTCCTCCACGCCATCAAAAGCTTGTCTGGTACACTTTGGGTCATTAGGAACTTGATGCCTGGTGCCATTTTGCCTCATGACAAATGCCTCATTATGTCTTATAGGCTCTTTAATCAATGTGCTTTCCAGTTGAAAGGTTCCAAACCTGTCTTGTTGACGAGTGTTGTGAGGAAGTTGGTCGTTTCCAGTGCAAGGTCCTGACTGTAAGCTACTTTCTTGGTGTGTCGGGTGCCTGGATAGAAATGCATGTGAGCCCATTGTTGGTGTTTGAATTATTGGCACTCCATTCTGTTGGATAATAGGTTTACTTATTCTTTCTGCAGTATGTCCTACCCTTCTACTCATATAATCTTCACCTTTTCCCTTAGACATTCCAGAAGCAGTAGACGGCAAAGAAAATATGCTCTCTTCTCTCAATGTTCCAAAATGGTCTACTTCCTGTGATGCCAAGTCTGGTGTCATGTGCAACTGAAAATGACTGGGGGGCACAATTGGTCCTTGCAGTTGGGAAATGTAAGAATTGATCGGTTGGGTCAAGGTAGAAGAGTTTTTGAGGTTGTCGAAATTTTCAAATCTTGGGATTTGCTGGTTGTGGTCTACATTTTCTGATTGCCAATGCCAATGTGTGGACCTGTCATCAAAGCATGAGTTCCCAGTTACAGGACTGTGAAGAACCTGGAACGAGGCAGTTCTCCCCATATCTAGAAGAGATGTTGGAGGGCCATGGTTCTTGTTACATTTGTCCGAACAAGTTGAATCTTCTGCCTCCGAGTTGCACCCTAAGCAGGATTGGATTTCCCCATTGATTTGAAGGCCAAAGGAGTCAAAATTATTATGTGATGAACTGCCTTTTTCTGTTGCTATGCCCTTATGCTCAATTGCTAGACTTGTTCTTCTTGTTCCTGAGATTGAATAGTTTGTTCTGTGCTCTGATGATTCATGGTATGTTACAGATGCTTGGCTGTAGACTGGTTGCCTTACTATCTTCTCATAAAATTTCATGCTTCCACTCGGGTCTAGCATCTGAATCTCTGGTTCTTCAGTCATAATGCTTGTTCCACTTTGGTACCATGTTTGGTCAATGGTGGTTGACTGGAGGGGGAATCTTGCTGCAAGGGACATGAAGGCAGAGCTGCACACAATGGGAAAGAAAATAAGGAGATTGTCAATCTATATTGATTTCACTTTTTCCATCTCAAGGGCATTTTGACATTAGAACTATATAAAATACTCGAATTTACCTTGAAAGATGGTCTGAGACATTCTGAGTAAGGAACACTCCTATTACTGAGTCAACAACTGAGCCTTTCCACTGTGAGAAGCGTCTATCTCCTGCAATATTGGTTAGATAAATATATCTTAACTTTACATGCACTTGACACAGAAAATCATAGAATTTCTTTGTATGTTCATTCTTGGTATAGAGTGTTGGAATGTGTCCCACATCGCCTAGAGTTGCCCCATCTATGTTGGTTGTAAGGCTCCAATTTCCTCTCTCCTTAATACCTGGGTTTTAAGGAGAAATGTAGGCTAGGCTTTTCAATTCAGAGCTAGTAACAGTATTTCTACCCAAGAGATTCCAACAGTAGCAATGGAAACTAAATGCTACTTTGAAGAACAATCACCAACAAAAAAAAAAAAAAAAAAAAAAAAAAAAATAAAAAAAAAAGAAGAATAATAATAATCTTAGTGCAGTATCTTTAAAATGAACTTGATTACTCTATTCAAAACTTGGACAAGTAACAGAATCTGAAAAATAAATAAATATATATATTTTGTAGTTTGCAACTCTTTAAGATTTGTAAAGTTGGGTGCAAGACTGACACTGTTTAGTTTATTCTTTGCTTGAGCTGCTTAGGCATTTTTGTGCAGTGCGCTTTGCTATCTTTGCTTACTACATCTGGAAGTTCTACACTGCTTGGTTGTTAGTTATACTCACCATTTTAGTTTATAGCTTGTGAACTCTCTAAGATTTGTATTTTGCTTTCATGTTGTAGTGTTGCCCAGCTAGTACTGTGTTACTGTGAGTGTATTCACATAATTTGAACTTATTTTTTTGGTAGGCTTCATTTTTTGGTAGCCTAGAATGATATCTGCAAACAATAATAACAGGTTTGGGCAAATAACTACATAAAATCAACCTAGGCTATGAAGTATGAAATCTAGCAACGTTTGTAAGGACTTGAAACTTCTAGGTCAAGTATAGAGAGAACTTGTTTTGGTACCTTGGACAAGATGCATGCGTGCAATGAATGAGTCTGCTCGTCCACGGAATACTTTCCTTTCTTCTTCCCACCATTTTTCCTTGTCCTTGTCTTCTACTTCAGTGCCTTCATTTCCTTCCTTCTCCATTAATAGTTTCCAAATCCTATTTGTCTCTGGGTCAAGGTCCACTTTAGGTCGTGGTTTGCGTTTCTTGATAGGATCAAATGGAACCATTGTGCCACCACCTTTGTAAGGAACAAGTGCATTTTCCTCTTGCCCATCTGTTTCCTTGCTCCTACCAGTGATATTTAGACCTTGCAGTCTGCATGTGATTTCATCAATTGTAACTGTGTGTTTCTGTTTTTCTGGTTTCCCTGCAGCACACATCCAGAAAAGTTTCTTTATTACTGTGGATTCAATATTTGAGAAGTTTTTGTGTTCTAAGAGTTTAACAGGTACCTCTTGCTTTCGTGGAGTATTGTTGATAACCATGTGAGGCGTCCTTGTGCTCTTGCAAAAGCACTTTATTTGCTCTGGATGAGACTGGATTGGCTGAAGTTGGCACCATGTCTTGCCTCTTTACTGACATATTTGCAAGGAGAGTTTCCATTGCTTGCTCAAAACCAGATGTATGAATTTTGGGCCAAGTTGATGATGGCAGGTTCAAGTTGACCATTGCAGTTGGAGAGGTAATGTTGTGGGCCTGAGTTGATCTACTGAATCGTTTATCTGCTATCCTTTCTGTGTTTGAAAGCAGCTCAGATGCAGCACGTTGCTTCTGCATATTATGCTCATCAGTGATGGAATGGAAGTGAGAGTCACCACAAGTACCATTTACCCCATTCTTTGGCTTCTTAGAGTTAGAGGTTTTGTCACCTTCAGTGTTTCTGGCATCGATTTGTGATGCATAATTGTTTGTGTAGCTACTGTTTCTACCTTCTGTTGCAGCTTGTCTCAAATCATCTTTAACAACTGCGACACAAGGTGTGCTACATACTGCTGTATGAAATCCATTCTCAATTCTTCTTTTCTTGTGAGTTTCTGAACACCTGGTGCCAAAAATGCTGCCATTACTGTTACGGTCATCTACTTGATACATCTCCTGGCACAAAAATGGAGAACCCATCCGATTTTCAGCAGAGGGACCTGCCTGCTCATTTGCATGATGATATTCCCACTTCCATCCTCTCTTTTCATCTGAATTGGCCAGATGTCTTTCCACCATTTGAGGAGTACTCTGTATCTGCCATGTCATCTGTTTGATTTGCTCAAGGTTTTTGTGAGTATTATTTGCTTGGAGGTTATTCATCTTCAATTCTTCTTGGAGATGTGGGTGCCCCTGACTGCAACCGTTTTTGTCACTTTTTGGGTATGGACTCAAATCTCTCATGTTTGCTCTTCTTGCAATGTCATTTAAAGTATTGTATTTGACAGCAGCTGGTGGCACAGAAGGGGCATGTCCCTGGGGCAATGATATGCGTTCCTCTGGCATTTGATTTATGGAACAGGTAAGGTTGCATGTACTTCCTCCAATTATGCTGTTGATTCCAGTGTACAATTCGGTGGATTGAGAATCCAAATTAGAAGCGGACTGATTCTCTTGATGTATTTCCACCCGGAGATTATTACCCTGGCTTTCACCTTTTTTGACATTTTCAGTGTCAAAATTTAACACTTTTCTGCATGATTTTTCTCTAGGCTCGAAAGTTGAAACTGTAGCTTCATTTGTAGCATCAATCCGTTGAGTTAGTGTGGCTTCAAGGCTCTTCTTGCGCACATACTTCCTCTTTCCAGTTGGGTTCTCCTTGGAGTCAGTGTTGTTTGGAGTCGTGGGCTTTGGAGTCCTTTTGGGTTTGCCTTCTACTATTACCTTTGGTCTATGTTTTCTCCTTTTTGGTGTTTTTTGCTGGGGTGTTTCATTCACGTCAGTGCCTCGATCACCTTCCAGCTCAGAATTCTTCTTTTCCTTCAACGATATCGAAACAGCAGCAGATGATGAATCCACAATGTTTTGTAACATTTCATCGCAGCGGTTCTCAATTGCTTCCCTTCCTATTGATGTCAGTATATTCTCCGTCATATCTTTTTCTTGACTGGAACTTTCATCTACCGAAAAACTCAACATTTCAGAATGCCGGTGGTTTTCAAACTGCTTTGCGTGATCTGGCGTGACTGGTGCGAATGGAAAGGAATTGTTCATCCTTGATGTTGCATCAGCTTCTGATCTTGGTGGCAAGTTTAGATTATAGTTGGGCCACAAAGGGACAGGAAATCCATCTGCACGAAAACAAATTTTTCATTACATATTGACCGTTGGTTAAGTGAGTAGAAAACAACAAAAACATTACCAACATCATAATTGTTCAACTGAAATAGTTGATCTAACTTTCTGATAGCAAAGGAGGCTTGTTACTTTCCTTAATAATTTGAATGAGGTGCACCAGAATAGTTTGTAGAAAATCAGTGTTCTATTTTCTGTGGCCATTTGAATATTTTATTTTATTTGTTATTATTATGTTGATGTTTTTATATGCCAAAAGTAAACTACTCAATTCAGCCATATTTAATCTAATGGAGTCATTACAAAAATGGATTCCTTACCACGACAGTACAATGATTTGGGTGGCATTGAGGCATGAAATTCTAGACAAGAGTTTAAGAATATCGTGTCTATGAGCTATTTTAGATTCAAGGACAAAACGAAATGATTTTGCGCAGTTTCTAATATCATTTTAGTGAGGATTTAGAATGGATCTCTACCATCGTGGATCATAGAGTTCAAGGATATATTACAATAGAGGACATGTGCGCAACATATAAGTATGTTTGTCAAAGTACAACAATAACACACCATGTAGTTTAATAATACCGAAATTCTTTTTACAATAAGACATTATTTTTATTGTCAAGACAACACGAAAAAAAAAAACTTCTTACAGCTTTAGTTAAAGTAAAAATAAGGTGTTTGTTGATTTCTTTTAGTCAGTGTTAGTTCCAGAATCATCTTCTGGGACATAATAATCATATTGAGGTTCAATGTTAGCATTTGGTTTCACTGATCCCAAATTTTCCTTCTTATTTTTCTGTTTAGATTCAAATATTTTTCAAAACAAACTAACAACAATTCATAAAAAACCACTGAAAAAGAAAAGGTAGAAATCGAAAATACAGTTGCAAAATTGCCTTTGTAGACACTAGTTTCAAGCACGTACCGTTAGCCCTCTGTGTTGATCTGTCAGAATTGATCAATTGGTTTGAACCGGGGGTGTGATCTTCACATCCAAGCAACAAACTAGTGAAATTGCCTTCTGTCCAACTACTGTCAACTTGAGAGTATGAGTTCAGAATAGTTGGTGTGTTTTCCTCATCCATGCATTTGTTCGACATCCCATTTGCAGAATCCATGGACTCTGCATTCTTGATACCCAATAGTTCTGCCAAAGGATTATTATTCCAAACTGCACTATCAGTACCAATGGTCTGTGTATAGAAGCCAACATTGTGACTGAAACTGCCCTGCTCTGCTCGTGGAACACCCGAAACAGCCAAGCTATAAGAACTCCCATTGTGATGAGTGAAACCTCCCTTCTCGGGTTGAGGAACACCCAAGTTATAAGAACTCTCATTTTGATGACTAAAACCACCCTTATTGGCTTGAGGAACACCCAATTTATAAGAAATACCATTTTGACAACGGAAACCACCCTGAGCAACACCCAAGTCATAAGAAATCCCATTTTGATGACTGAACCCGCCCTTCTCAGCTTGAGGAACATTCAAGTTATAAGAACTCCCATTTTCACCCATTAGTCCAGCTAGATTGAAATTCTGACCAGCTCCATAGTAATTCATCGTTTGTCGTAAATTTCGACTTGCAAATCCAACTAGTTCATGCCAATTTGCTTTCCCTAGTTGATGATGATTTCCATGCCTTTCAAGTGGGATACCGTTTGATCTTGCCAGAATTGGCTTTCCTGGTGTTACCGGCATCCAAGGACCCCGAATCTTGACATCATTTTCCGGTGGAACCAGAAATCCCCTCCCAGAATTCTTTGTCGAATTCATTGAAATTTGGGGCAATCAAATCACATCGACACTTCTGTGCACTCTAGTTTACAGATTCATGTATAAACCCTACAGTTTTGTCCTCAAAGCTAAAATTTTGGGACAATTCTGCAAAAACCCGATTTATCAGTAAACCCTTCTTGATCCCTAAAATCCCCATTGCCTGCACCTAGCCTGTCAAAACCTCCCAATTACATTTCTCACCAGAAAGTCCCTACCTAACATGGTAACCATCTAATGCAAATCTTATATTCAAACAAAGCATGCTTTTCCTGGGCAACCAAACAGAATAGCATCTATGCAATGCCATCAAATCCAATTCCAAATTACATTTTCTAATAAAAACAAAATATTTCTCAACAACTACACACCCAGAGTTATCTTCACTTATCTCAGCAAACTCACAGCAACAAAAATTGAAAAAATAGATAAATAATAAATAAAAATGTGGGATCAAATTGAAAGAAATCAGGAAAAGTTGAATTGGTGAATCTGAGTGAATTTGGTGGGTTTTAACGCTAATCATAAATGGGTTTAGATAGAAGCAAACAGGAAAATAAAACCCATGAAATCTGTAGAGAATCTCATGCAATTTTGCAGGAAATGCAATCAATCACCGACTTGCACAAAAGCAAGAATTGAGTGAGAATGCCAAACAGGGAAAATTGGGAAAATTTATCAGGTACAGCTGAACTCACCGATCTCCGACTAAGCCATGTGGCCGGAGTGGGCCGCCTGAGAATCCAGTCAATGCCAGAGGACCAAGTCAGACTTCGGTATACCAGGAAAGAGTTAGAGAGAGAGAGAGAGAGAGAGAGAGAGAGAGAAGAAGAAGAAAAAAACGAAGCAAATAGATAGACTATTCTTTTTATTGGGTTTAGATAGAAGCAAACAGGAAAATAAAACCCATGAAATCTGTAGAGAATCTCATGCAATTTTGCAGGAAATGCAATCAATCACCGACTTGCACAAAAGCAAGAATTGAGTGAGAATGCCAAACAGGGAAAATTGGGAAAATTTATCAGGTACAGCTGAACTCACCGATCTCCGACTAAGCCATGTGGCCGGAGTGGGCTGCCTGAGAATCCAGTCAATGCCAGAGGACCAAGTCAGACTTCGGTATACCAGGAAAGAGTTAGAGAGAGAGAGAGAGAGAGAGAGAGAAGAAGAAGAAAACGAAGCAAATAGATAGACTATTCTTTTTATATTTAAATAAATAAATAAATAAATTGTACAGGTTTGGGCGGGTCCTGTTTTTTAACCGTTACTCTACTTGTACAAAAATTAATTATAAAATTATATCATCTTCATAAATGAATGTGGGATCTTTTAAAGGGAATGACTTTTATCGTACCAAAATTATTCATAATTCTTTAATTATTATTTTATTTACACAAAAATTAATTATAAAACTATATGTTTTCCATAAATGAATGTGGAATCTTTTTAAAGAGGACTCTTTTCATACCGTTATTTTTAACGGCCATTCTACTTATAAAGGAATTAATTATAAAATTATATTTTTACCATAAATAAATGTAGGATCTCTTAAAGGGAACGACTCTTTCCATACCATTATCATTCACTTTTCTCTATATTATATTTTGTCGGTCTTATTTGAGACTTGTAAAGAAATCAATTATAAAATTATGTTTTTACCATAAATAAATGTGGGATCTCTTAAAGGGAAGGACTCTTGCCATACAATTATCATTCACTTTTCTCTAGACTATATTTTCTGGGTCTTATTTACTTGTAAAAAAATCAATTATAAAATTATATTTTTACCATAAATAAATGTGAGATCTCTTAAAGGAAAGGACTCTTTCCATACTATTATCATTCACTTTTCTCTACGCTATATTTTGTGGGTCTTATTTGAGACTTATAAGAAGGGGTATTTTTTTTATAAATCTCTTTTCACCTATTTATATTTTATTTAATTCACATTATTTTCTTATATTTTAATAAGTCTTATAGGTGATATAGTTACTAAAATATTCCTAATAATATTCACATTTACAGTATGAATGTTCCGTAATGTGAATGTTCACACTGTCAATGTGAATGTCCACACCATCAGTATGAATGTTAGCATGTCAATGTGAATGTTTACACGGTCAATGTGAATATATTACATTGTAAAATGTGAATGTTCATATCCCCAAATTGTTGACCGTTCAAAAAATATTTATAAGGATAGAAATGCCCATAAAATACTTTAACTATGATACTTAGGATTTGGTAGATCAAATATTCAAATAATAGGACTTATTGAAATACAATAATATTTTATAGACTAATTGGAATACAAATACTTAAAAAATAATTTTCTAATAAATCTCCCTTATAAGATTGATTTAAATCGTTATCTTGTAAATTTAATAATAAAAATAAATTGTGCAAAAAATTAAGGGAGAATTACCTCTCAGTGAGATAGGAAAAAAAAATTACATAAACATGGAGAGGTTCAAGTATCATAGAATAACATGCACTCCACATATTTTTGTAATTTTTTTTCTCTATTCAACTGGACTTTAATTCTCCTAAAAATTAATTTCATTAGATATTATTAAATATATGAATAAATTATATTATTTTTAAAGATAGGCAGTAATTCTGAGTTTAAGTTTAAATCATCTATTTTATTGTACAAAACAAAATATAATTTGTTCTTCATTTATTGATATCTGACAAAATTATCTTTCTATATAGACAATTCTCACTGCGAGATTTACGAGATAAATGACTCAAATTATAATTATAAGACCAGAGTACAGCTCATAAAATGAAGTATGAAAGAATATGATATGAAAATTTACAGAAAGATGAAATTATTCTATTTATAGAGAAATTAATCACAAAATTATATACAACTATCACATGTAAGTGTAGTACTCACAAAAAGTGAAACTTACTACACGAATCAGGCCTCGTTTGGGACCAGACTTTTTAAATAATTTTTTAGCTTTTTAGTTAAAATATGATATAAAAAATAGTATGTTTGGGATCACTTTTGGAATTTTTTACGAAAAGATATACAAAAGTAAAGAGAAAAGAGAATGTTTGACTTTTTGTATAAATTGTTAATTTTTTAATTTTTTTTAGTGACTTTTTAACTTTTAATATAAAAAGATTCATTGCCAAACGAGTCCTCAGTTTGTAACTTTCAAACTTATTTTATTTTTGGGTCACGCACCTTCTCCTAAATATAATAACATTTAAAGTGCAAAATCACTATTTGTTGTCAAATTAATACAACATTGAGATTATCTTGTGGTTTAGTTAAAAAAAAAAAAATTAGTTGGCTTTTTTAGAATTGGGATTTTTTTAGTTTGAGATTAAAAAGATTGTTTGGATTAGTTTTTTTTTTTAACTTTCTTGATTTTTATAAAAGAAAAAATGAAATGATTATGCTTTAGATATGACATTTTGTATGATTAACTTTTTAAGCTTATTTTGTCTTTTAATGACTAATTAAGTCACAACCCAACCCAAACGAATATGAGTTAAAGTTTTTTTGCACTTGTTTGGCATAGATGGTCTTGGGGCTAAAAGGCTATTTTTGCCAAAAAAAAGGCAACATAGTCTAAAAAATCTATAAGATAAAATATCATATCTAAATTATAATCATTTTATTTTTTTCTCTTACAAAAGTTAAAAAATCAAAAAATATATCCCGAACGAAACTTTTTAGTCTCAATCTAAAATAGCTAAAAGACTAAAAAATAAAAAACCTAACTTACACCCCAAACGAATCCTTTATGAGCAAAAAATAGTTGCTAGCTGGCTTAGTTTTTAGTATCTATTGTGTCTGTAAGTGCTAAAACCACGAGACAAAATTCATTTTTGTTGTATGATTATTGTCATGTAGTAATTTACAAATAAATATTGAGGATTTACTTACGTGTGCTTTGCGGAAAATTATATAATAGTCTTTGAATAACATGTGGTCAAATTTTCTTATCTATCACTATTTATTATATTTTCATATTCTTCAATTATCCAATATAAATAATTAATATTTTATATTTTCTACCAATCATAATATTATAAAATATTACGTGACCGTACTTCCAGACTACCTTTGCGTGCTTTGCAAATGTATGAATAAAATATTTATTAGAAAATTAATATTTAAACTTCTATTTTAACTTCAAATTTCTCTTTTTTTTCATCTTACTTTTCATCAAAAGAGTGTGAATAAGTGTGCATATCATTTTGTTGTTTATGCATAAATGAAAGAAATATGAAATTTTAATTTACCATGTGTAATTTTGTGATTAGGGAATGAGTTAATTTTATTTAGTGGTGGCAAATTTTTACATACAACCGTACACAAAAATGTATTCACTCGACAATTAGTATTTTTTTTTCAATGTTAAAGTCTTAATATAAATAAAATAGTAGTGATTTATATGCTAACCTTCGATCTGAAATGACTGACGTATAAAATTTTTATTGAATATTAAAAAAAATTCGTGCACATTAAGTCACTACCCAAGGGATATTTCTCTCATTTATCACTTTCAGCCTCATTTTCATTATATAACCAATCTTTTTAAAATAAAATAACACCAACAACTTTGTAACGTCCTCAAAATAGTATAATAATTATAACCCAAAGCATGTATAATTGATAACATATATCAGAGTAAATAGTCTTTTCATTACATGAAATTAATGATACAAAAGAGTTTAATTATATGCCTTATCAGCTTACATCTTTCCAAGTCTCGACTTGGTTACAACAAAAGAGAGACCAGCTTTTATAAATAAGCCATTGGCTATACAAAAAGAATATATAATCAAAACAAGAAGCTCGTGCTTCTAAAAGTCCCTCCCAGCTATTGCCTTAGCGAAGGCATGCCCTCAATACCTGAAAATGTTATCCCGAAATAAGGTGAGCCACAGCCCCGTAAGAATCATCTAACACAGTATATGAAACTTAACAAAGGTATAAGTGCACTATACATACACAACGTCAGTGATAGAACATCCACACTTTATATAGCCATAAGATAACAAATTCAATTCTTAATCCACTTTCATTCAATTCATTTCATTACATGAGCCAACTTCATCATTTCTCAATAACCCAAATGAGACTACAACTCATTAGTTCTATAATCACATCATCCACATATAAACACTTCAAACTTTCCTTTCACAGATATTTCGTCCGTGGAAAACCGTCAAGCGGGACCCATGTAAACGTTGGCTATACAAGCACTACAATTGCCATTTTACGGATATTTTGTCCGCGGAAACAGCACCCATGTATAATTTCAGGACTTTCACCCAGGACACTCCGGCCAACTTAATTATAGTGGAGTCCATCCCCTTTCTTCTCCTAAACAATCATTCATACATATGCAATGTATTTAAACATATAATCATACATGGAGCACATCTCTTTTTCACTCCTAAATAACCATACATATACAATGTATATAAACACAGTCATATTCAATGACAAGCACAAGAGATTAGTTTCTATTTACCTAATCCGAATGCAATTTCTACAATAATTATAGCTATCCTATACCAATAGCCTAATATAGATATTTCTAGACGGGTATACAATCTCATGACAGATAGTTTATTCAAAATTTCCAAGGAATGAAATAATACATAATCAACCCCACCATTCATATTGATACCCTTCCAATCTCACATTTCCAATGTCACTTTCAATTATTTATACAAAATAATAATTTGATCCAATTAGGGCAAATTTTCATATTTTCCCAAATATTAACCAAATGCCAAAATCATCAAATTAGACTCAATACAACATCATTTTCAAACTCCACAATCATTTGTTTCATATTCAACAATA